TGTAACATGTCTGCGCACTGCCTTTCTATTTCATCTTTTTGCCGATGTGGGTAGCGGTAGGGCCTGACAACAACGGGATCTGATCCGGTTATCAGAGGGATTYGGTGGTCGCAAGCTCTGGGAGGGGGAAGCCCCTTGGGCTCCTTGAATACTGCAAAGAAGTCCGTAAGGAGCCTTTCCATATCTGTTGCGCGTGAGTCCCCACCTTGGAGTGTATGTAGTTGCGCCCTTGTTCTTATTCTGGTTCCCTGCCATGTGACTAGTTTGCCATCCAAGTGGAAGGTCATGGTCAGGGCGGCGAAGTCCCATAGGATTGGTCCAAGCGTGATCAGCCATTTAACCCCTAGGATGATGCCAAATTTGTCCAAGGATAGTACGAATAAATCTGCTTGGAAGGACTCTGTTCCGACCTGAATTCTGGTGTCCTTGCAAATTCCGGGGCTGTGAACTCTTTCCCCGTTTGCCACGGCCACCTGTAATTGTGGTCTTCTTTCCATGGGCAGTTCTAACTTGTGGGCCACCTGTTCGTTGATGAAATTGTGGGTGCTACCCGAGTCCACTAGAATACGGACTGGCCGCTCTGCTATCAATGCTCTCAGTTGCATGGTTTGGGAAGTCTTGACCCCCGTGATGGCATGGAGAGAGATTTCTGGTTCTGATGTTGCAGGTTCGTCCTCTTCCTCTTCGGGTTCTTCTACTAGGAGACAGAACAACTTCTTACACTTGTGGCCGGTGGAGTACAGGTCATCGCAGTTGAAGCACTGCCCCCTTGCGCGCCGTTCCGCCATCTCGGCTTGGGTCAGCCGCCTAATGGGGGGTGCAGACCTGCTGCTTCCTATGCTTGACGCTGATCTGGAGGGGTTGCCCGCATGCAGCCTTGGTTCTCTGCTGGTGATCGAAGAGGGAGTCACTCCTGTTGTCTTCGAAGGCGTCCATGTTGATGTCGGCCGTCCTATGCTGAAGCCCCCGTGGGAGATCTGCATCTTCCTTTCAAAGGCACGTGCGAGGTTCATAGCCGTGACTAGATTAGGGGGGTGCTGCATCTCGACGTCCACTCTTAGGGGTTCCACTAGCCCTGCTGTGAACATGTCGACTTGCTGGTCTGGGCGTACCAAGGCTGCTCTGGCGAGAAG